ACAGGAGCATCTTTAGTGGCAGGTCGGGTCCCTTGGGGGAAAGGAAGTCCTGAAGTTGGTGAAGCATATAAGGGGGATGGTGGAACCTTCTGGATAAAGGCAGAGGTAGAGGAAGCACCCATTTTTTGAACCTTAGCTCGAGTAATAGGGCTCCCACCAGAACTGCCCTCAGCCTTGCGTTTAGAACCACCCTTGTTTTTCTTCTTCAATTGCTTGACCTTAGCCTAAAGCAACTTAGGGGTAGGCCTCATTCATAGTTATCAAATCGTGTATCGGAAGGCGTATCGTAAGATACAAATATTGTATCGTATCGTGTATCGTATCGTGTATCGTAAGATACGATGCAATTTTAAATAAATAATAAAAAAATATATATACCTTTGAAAAAAAGTCATACACTCATAAAAAATATAGCATTTCATTAATACTCCACCAACTATTCAAGTTATCAACATAATCCACTACTATTATAATGCAAAGTTCACAACCATAGTTCACTAATTCAAACTTTAAACACCAAAGAGACTTCTAATCCAAATTTCTAACATCCATTTTGAACTCAATCTTCAATTTCAATTGAAAATGCATCATCATCATCATCATTGTGATCGGATGCCAACAAGTCTTCACTTGTCGTTTTTTTTAAAAAAAAATCAGAGCACAAAACGACGACGTTTTAAAAAAAAAAAAAAAAAAAAAAAAAAATTGCACATATCGTGCGTATCGTACCGATACGTATCGTATCGTAAAAACGTATCGTGTATCGGACGATACAACGCAAAAACGATACATAACTACGATCCGTATCGTTTTAGGGCTGTATCGTAACGTATCGTACGATACGTATCGCGTATCGTACGATACTAACAACTTTGGCCTCATTGTAGAAGACCCTAGGAGATATGACTTGAGCTGGTTAGTCAAGAGGAAAAAGAAAGGGAGGAAAACAGCGAAACCGAATAAGGGAAAGAGCATTACCTTCTGTGTCCTCAAGTCGGATAAAGGAAAGTGGAATTGGAGCTTCTATCACTGTCCCAGGAGGACCAAACCCCTGCCTTCCTAATTTCAAGGGCTTAATGAGCTCAGAGTACCTCTCTGGATTACACTTCGCCAATTTTAGCTTCACCATCTCGTCTTCAGAGCTGAGCTCAGGTCGAATACCTTAAAAACCAAGGAAAACAAGAAATAAGTTAACAAAGTAACTAGGCTTGGATTAAATACGGTCTGGGCAGACACATACCTGAATTATTGGGGGCAAACCACTCTATAAGGATGAGGAGGGTATCAGTTTTATCCTCTGAGTTGAACTCCCACTATGTACGCCCTACAAAGAAAAATTATTTCTTCCAACCCTTATGGGAGCTTGGGAGGTCAGAAATGACCTATTTGGCCTTAGCCCTCTTGGAAATATACAAAAAACCGTTAGAAGATGTCTGCTTGACATTGAACAGCTCCATAAGTAAGGAAACAGTAGGGACCCCAAGCTTATGGTCCTTAAAGAAGACTAGTAAACCTACAAGAACACCCCAGAAGTTGGGGGAGAGTTGGGTAGGGCAGACATTGAAGTGTTGAAGGACACCTTTGATAAATGGATGAAGGGGGAACTGAAGTCCGTTATTAAAAGCTGCCAGGAAGAAACAGACCTTCTTGTGGACATGGTGAACATATGTGGTGTACTTATCAGGACTCCAGCGCTGAACCCCTGGGGGGAAACGAAAGCGAGCACTGAGAACCTTTAGGTCAGAAGGGGTAAGTCCGCTGGGACCTACAAGTTCAGCGTTCCAAAAGGCAGCCCCTGCGCCTAAAACAATGACTCCCACACCACTTACTTTGCCCTTGCCCTTACCAGGTCTATCAGGCATGGGAGAAGAGGTGGAGGGGGCCTCCTCGATTTTCACCTCTACCTCGGTAAAATCTGACATCACCTACATCCCCTAAATCATAATTTTTTTCGACAGACCTATCGCCTAAGAGGGAAACAGAGGAAGAAGTTGCTCCAGAGGAGGCAGACATAATTAGCAAGGAGAAAGGCAAGGAGAAAGAATGATAAAAAGGAGGAATACTAACTAAAGACCCCTTGATAATCCTAGGGTCAGCACTGTACCTTCCAATAATAAGAATTTGCACAGTGGAGTTCCAATCCACAAAGCGGGAAAGAGGAGATAGGCAACGATCGCAATTCCAAAAGAAAAAGAATCGAAAAACCCAGAAAAACAATGGCCACCTCGAAGTCGAGGGATCTAGAGTGAGGAAAGGCAAGAGAAAGAGAAAGAGGTAGAAAGAAGCGTACTTAGACAGGGAAGAGAGCAACAAACAGAAGTCAAAGAACAAAATTGGAGGAGAGGAACAAAACAGGACTTCGAGTTGAACCCAGAAAGCACAGTCTAGAGCAGAGAATAAGGGAATCGTGTGGAGGAAAGCCCAGAAATCGCAAAGAGAAAGAGCCATAGACGAAGGTGAATAGCGTAGAAGATGAACGGTGGTTTTGTACGATTTTTGATAGTCGTTTGAGCATTTAAGGCTTGAAAAACATGGGATGATGCGTGCGCGGGAATCAAGGGAGCCATGATTGCTGTAACTGTCAAAAAGCCCCTCCCACGTGCATCTCACATGCGGACTAAGGTCAATTAGGTGTAGGTCTGGTCTAAGGTGAAAGCAGCTCAGCCCATGCCCAAGCTCGCTTGGGCCAAGGGCTGGGGGGCAACTGATGATGCCTAAAATAAATTTCAAGTGTTAGCTTAGGAGTTCAGCTCAGACCGGGAGGTTAGACATGTTAACTGAAGTTAGAAAGCAAGGGTTGAATGTCTCTTGAGGCAAGACAACGGCTGGATAACCACGAGAGGTTCCTAAATCGTTAAGAAGTTATAATCAAGACACCTAATCTCAACCAACCAAGATCTTCTCCTAGAATTAAGGAGAACCTCACGAAGTAAGGGCAAGAATCTCGGCCAGGATCCCCCTTAGCAGGGAATGACCTTATAAATGCAATGTAACGCCTCCTAACAAGGAGAGGCTCCCTAGAAATGCAAAGGAGCCATTGTAACCTTGTAACGTCGATTATTGCAAGAAAAAAGAGTAAGAGCCTCCATTCCAGAGTGGACTAGCTAAGCTCCCGAGCTGGTGAACCACTATATTTCTACTATGTTAATTCCCCAACTCCCCAACAATTCCCTCGAGTCTAGTAGCTCAGATCCCAATAATTCCAATATTGTTTCTTTCATTTACTCGTCATCACAAAAATGGCATCATGTTGAAATACACCATCAGTTAGTATTCTATTTTCTGCTTCCCATAGTTCTGTTAGTCTTCATAGTTTTGATTGTTCTAATTGGCTTACACTATAATTCTAAGTGTATTTTTTTCTTGGTCGGTTAGGATATATTTTCAAGTAGAGATGTCATGAATGTATTTCCTTTGGCGATGAGAAATCACACCACTCAGTATCTTTTTTTCCATAATTTTGAAACTTAGCTGCATTGTATCTGAACATGTGGCATGTGATATGTTTGGCTATGAAATATTGATGGTTGTGTTGGTGGTTAGTTATGGAATGTTGATTTTGGGAGAAATGGAATTGGATTGTGAATGTGCATTATGATGATTGTTATGTATGATTATAAGTTCTATAGACAGGTTGAGATTTTTTTAGACTCCTATTTTTAGAGGAAATTTTATTGAAACTTTCGAAAAAATAGTGGAGATTAAAGAAGAAGGGTCTATGTTATTTTTGAGTGAATTCTATGGTTGTTGATTCATTTTTCTTTGATATATTGATGCAGCTACTGTTTCATACGTGATATTGGAGTAATTTCAATTCTTGACTAGGGATTTCGTTTAATCAATTCTCTCTCGCTACTACTTTATTTCGGTGAACAATATTTTCGATTTTTTTAATATTCTAATAATTCAGGTTTGTTTAATTTTCATGATTTTTGCTATTATTTCATCTACTATCACTAAAGATTTGTTTATGTTGTTGATTTTATTATTATGAAATTTATCTACTATCACTAAATAGTTCAATGTCCAATGTCAATGCTTTTTTGTATGTGGACATAATAAATTAGGAGTATATTTGCACATTTGTATCTATTTTTTACTCCTTGGCACTGCAACGACATTATTTAGTTCATAAATAATTTTAACCTTATTAAGTTCATACATAATTTAAACATTAATTAGTTCATAAATAATTTAAACATTAACGAGTTCATAAATAATTAAAACATTATTAAGTGAAGTTCATAAATAATTTAAACATTATTTAGTTCGTAAATAATTTAAACTTTATTTAGTTCTTAAATAATTTAAACATTATTAAGTTCATAAATAATTTAAACATTAGTTTGTTAAGAACTTAATAATTTAAACATTATTAAGTTCATAAATAATTTAAACATTATTTAGTTCGTAAATAATTTAAACATTATTAAGTTCATACATAATTTAAACATTATTTAGTTCATAAATAATTTAAACATTATTTAGTTCATACATAATTTAAACATTATTAAGTTCATAAATAATTTAAACATTATTTAGTTCATAAATAATTTAAATCAAAATCTCTATAACAAACTAAAACTAAAAACTATAACAACCCCAAATGGGTTGAATCTATTTCAAAACTAAATAATGCAGCAAAAAAAAATGTAACTTGCATATTTTTGTGCTAAAGAAAGTGAAAAATGTTCTTCCTTGCGATATTTTTGAATGCAGTTGTAACTATGTACATAGATTGAAATTCTTATGATCTCATGTTTATTGTTTTTTAAAGGAAAGAAAAAAGTTGACCATAATGGTGAATGCTAGCTATACACGAAAAGGAAAAGCAATCTCTTATGCCAAAGAAAGTGAAAATACCGAATGCCAAATGGTATTATTGGTTGAATAATCGCAATACTAAGTAATTGTTAAGAAAATTTTACTCATTCATACCAATATTTTTTGTTATCTAACTTTTTAGGTAATCGATGATAATGTTTTTAACAAAACGTCAAATGGCACAACGTGCACGTCGAGAGCATGAGAGATCGGAACGTCTTCCAAGTCAGTTTACTCTTGTGCTTGCACAAATTCCTGAGTTTCTAGCAGAACAAGCTATTCAAACAAATGTCTCCGGGTCATCATTTATGCCGACAATGCTTCGAGAAAATCCTCTACATAATCTTTATGAAGGCAATTTTGTTGAAGGCACTTCGGTGCAATCGACACCACCGTCTATTGGTGCCATGAACAACATTACTATTTTTGGCCATGTAAGATCATTCTCTAATATACTTATTTTACAACCTTTCATAATGTATAATCTTTCAATAATTACAATTTTTTTAACCACCTTTTTACAGATGGATAATGACCTAGATCGTGCAGTAAGTCGATTTTCTTATGACTCATTTATTACTTCTTATTTCATATCGCTTAATTTAGCTTTACATTTTTTTTGAATTTCTAGGTCCAGTTACTTCAAAAAAACAATGTAGGCATTGTGATTCGTGATGAACGTGAGCTTAACCGCCTTCACATATCTGAAATGGTAACAACAAATTCAAATATAATGATATTTGCATTATTCTTTTTAACTATAATGGTTTTTAACTTACACATATTGTTTTGTTGAAAGGAAAAAAGAAAGGCAACTACCATGGCGATCGCTAACTCTAAAGGAAAAGAAAAAGTAGGTTCTTTTGGCAACGGAAAAGAAAATACAGAACCTCAAGTGGTATGAATGTCGAATTCAACAATTACGAAATGTATATCTAATTGCTTATGTTCACAATGATGATTCTTTTAATTATGTTTTAGATATCCAACGATAATTATTATATATCAAAACACCAATTGGCACAACGTGCACGTCAAGAATGAGAGAGATTGGAACGTAGATGCATTCAACCTAGGATTTTTCCTATGTTGACACCGAGCCGCCGTCATCTACCTCAACTAGAAAGATCGATAGTCAAAAGATCTTTTGTTCAATCCACATCCATGCCTATGGAAATTCCTGAGGTTGTACCAGAGCAAATTGTGGAAATAAATTTCACAAGTTCATCGTCTATGGTCACTATGCTTCAAGAAATGCCTACACAAAATTTAGGCGAAGGCAATCTCGGCGAAGACACCACGGCGCAAATGGAACCACCCTTCGTTTGTTCTATGGAAAGCCCTATGCAAACAGTAGAACAAACAGTAATAAATGAAATTGGGTCATCGTCTGTTACGACCCTATTCCAAGAAATGTCGAATTTAGACAAATGTAGCACAATGCAAGCTCCCTTTATGTGGTTATTAATTACAACTTTCTTAATGTTATAATTTATGAGCTTCATTGAGCTTGATTGAAGGCATCACTATAACCACAAGTTTTTGTCTTATATATTTTAATTTAATTTATGTAGTGTTGAGTTTGATCCTCGAACACATGGAGTAGAAGGTCGACATTCACTCGGAATTATGAATGTACCATGTCCACATTGTTCAACTTTACATTGGAAGGCTGAACAATTATCAAATTCCCGTACAGGACACCCTCTGTTTGGAACATGTTTGCAAGGAAAAATTAGGATACCACCACTTAATACACCTCCTTCAGCACTCAAGGCATTGTATGATGGCAATGATAAACAATCAAAATTGTTTCGCCAGCATACCCATGAGTATGATGCAACAAATGCTTTTACAAGTCTTGGTGCTACCTTGGATTCTAGATTGGTCACTGGAAGGGGTCTTACATCATTCACTATCCATGGAGAATTACGACATCGGACCAGATCACTTCTGCCACAACCAGGTCAAGATGCGATATACTCCCAACTTTACATTTATGACCCTACTTCAGCTTTAGACATTCGCAGTCATAGAAATCCTCACTTGCAACGGGATGTTTTGAAAATTATTCAAGACTGTTTGTTGCACGTAAATCCCTTTCAAAAAAAATATTAGTAGGCTTATGAGATTTTAAGTCAATCAGACGTGGTAGCTCAAAATTTACCTGCTTATCTTCGTTACAATTCTTCCACAAATCGACGTCGATATAATCTCCCAACAACAGATGAAATTACAGTAATATTACTAGGCGATGGAACTGAATCAAGTGGAATAGGAGATACCGTTTTACATATGAGAGGGAATAATGGGCTGATGCAAATTAATGAATGTCACCCCGCATATTTACCTCTACATTATGTATTACTGTTTCCTTATCGTGAACTTGGATAGAAACCTGAATTGAAACAGTGGGACAAATCTCATGGTGGACCTTCAATCAATCAATTGACTCAGTTGCAATTTTATAGTTATCACGTGTTTTAACGTGATACTAAGTATTCAACATTTTGAGAGAGGAAAAATTAATTCAGGAGTTCATAGTAAATGCTTGGGCAGCTACTGAACAAAATGATTGACATATTATAAGCTTAATCAAGCAAAGCTCTGTGTTGAACTTTCCTAGGGAGTTAGTGATGTTTGTGCAGATGACCCGAGACCCGATCAAATTGGTCAACAAATGATTTTGCCATCTTCATTCACTGACAGTGCAAGACATATGTTTGAAATCTATCAAGATTCAATGGCTATCACACGTTACAACCAACACCTATATATTTTTCTCACCATGACTACTGTAACGCCCCAAAATCTACCTTGGACGACATTACTATTTAAAAATCATTCACATCACGAGAGCAACTAATAAGATCCATAAATAAAGATAATTTCATTCATCATCCATAATATATACAACATCATTCAAAAGAATATGTCAAACCATGACTATTACATCCAAAAGAATATGTCAAATAATGACAATTACGCCCAAAAGAATGTGTCCAAACTATTATCTCGCAGCGGAATAAGGAAAATATCAACATAAGCATTATCTCAACATGAAACTCCTAATCTAGTACAAAAAAATAGCAATTCTAGACATCCCTCTCTGGATCCACATGCCCATTCACTTGAGCTTCCCAATTTACATGCTCATCAACTCTGAGCTCTTCCTGTAAATCGAAATCTGAAATAAATATTGTTTGCAGGGGGTGAGCACTAATCTCTGTAGGAAAATTCTCTCAAACTTGGACAAAATTTTGAAAACATATAAAATAAGTCGGTCTCATTTCACAAATATCATATATAACTTCTGAAAGAAAACAGTGATAGTTCATTCGATCTCAAGTTTAAGAAATATCAATAAATTAAAAGAAAAGATAAACCAATTCCCAACAATAAGTCATTTCCAATCATAAACCATTCCCACAACAACAAACACTACCCACAATTTGTACCATTTCAACAATGTATAACAAATCACAACTTGTATCTCAGGTATGATGTATGACATCGTATGAATATACACATCGAGAATATCCTGACCTATACACACACACCCAATTCTCGCAAGGATATCAAACATTAGGAAGGGCGTATACCAACACACTAGCAGTGACGAATCCAAACTAGGAATAGTATACTAACCCTCATCCTCGGTACCTGTGAGCGAATAGTGGTTTGGTCTCACAAGGCACCAACCCCACTATGAATGGTAGGAAAATTCAAACCCGCATGGAGGAAGAAATGCATCTACACAATCTATGATACCCTATCAACGGACGTCCATGGTCATCCAAACATCCACAAGAGATACAATTCCCAACAAATTTCTCAAATAACAAGCAAATAAAAAATCCCTAAATTTCACATGTAGTATTACCATAGAACAATTTAAGAAAATAAGCAAGAGATCATCAACAATACCATTTTATTGTTCAATAAAAAACACTAAAGTTTTGAAATCAAGAACAAAGAAAAATCAAAAGAAAATTCATTTCTATTGAAAACTAGTGTTCTAAGACAAGAAAAAAAAAGATTTGATAGCTATTCCACCATAGCTTCCCTCAAAACATGAGAATCTTTGCAAAAATATCAAGGAGTAAGGATTTCATAGCGTATATATATATGATTGAGAGTGAAAAGAATACATATATGTAAGCCCTAGTCTCAAAGAACAAAAGTGGGAAGAAATCCCTACCTTGAATCAAAAGTTTCAAGCAAAATCCTAAGCTCTAGAGACTTCCTTCCTCCCTTTTCTTTTTCCCTTTATCTTCTCCTAGGGTTCTATATGGTTTGGGTGAGAGTGGAGTGAAAGAATGGAAGACAATGAGATAAAAATGGTGTTTTAAAGCCAGCCCAATCCCGAATTTTACTGTTCATAAGGCTAAAAATTACATTTTTCTCTGAAATTACTGTTTTGCCACTAAGTATCTCAATTTGATCTTTATGACTACCTTAAGGTTTTTAGACGTTTCAGATTCATTTTTAATGTTATTTTAACCTAAAAATATTTAGTTTTATGATTTATCTTTATTTTAAAGTATATTTACACTCGAAACACTAAAATTGGTATTTTATTCCTCTGAACCGCTATTAACGAAGGTTTTAAATCGATTGACCCATCTGAGGTCCAACGTACCATCCTTGGTACTCTATTATTATTCATTTATAACATTTGAAGGAAAGAATACATAATTCCAAAATTTGGTAAAACAATTTTAAAATTTTTGATTTTTAGAAAGAGTACCGGTACAGTTTACCAGTACTCTATGCTCTCTAGACAGTGTGGTACCGGTACACAGTACCGGTATGGTTTGTTCGGATTTACTTGTTTCACCTGTTTTTTATTTTTAATCCATTTCAAACCCTTCCAAAATCAACCCAAACTTATACAACATACATTTGTACATCAAACATAGTTAGTACAAATTCTACTACAAGCAATTTCACATATTTACTCGGGTTTTACAATATTAGCATTTCAAAAAAAAAATGATTACTTGCTATATAAAGATAAGAGTGTGAGGGGGGAGTTTACAATCCACCCCCCTTACAGAAAGTTTTGTTCTCAAAACTTACCTCAAGTAGCAAACAAATGAGAGTACTTCTCGCGCATCTTTAGCTCTGGTTCTCAAGTAGCTTCTTCCACCTCATGATGTTGCCATAAGACTTTCACCAGTTGAATGACTTTATTGCGAAGCACCTTCCCCTTGGTATCTAAAATCTCCACCGGTTGTTCTTCTTATGTTGCCCCATATTGTATTTCTATACCCTCCAAATCTAGGACATGCGTTGTGATTAGTGCTTAAAGTTATCATTTTACTATGTTTTTTTTGGGACTAATTGTGCTTTGATGGAGTTTAAGTGATGACATTTCAGGACCTAAAGTGAAAAAAAGCTCAAGAACAATAAATATCACACTTGAGTGTAA